GAGAGAGAGAGAGAGAGAGAGAGAGAGAGAGAGAGAGAGAGAGATTATCCTATGTAGCACATATAGAAGATATTGTACACATTCCACACAGCCACAATTCTTTTTTTTCCAAATATTTTGAATACATGGTTGAATCCACAAATGTGGAACCCAAAGATATGCAGGGTCAACTGAATTTAGAAACTCACTTCATCTTCAGAACAATCCCAATCAATAGACACTGTTATTTTCTCTTTCTTTAAAAATGAGAAAACTGAACCCAGAGATGTTAAGTAATTTGCCCAGGATTACACTTGGTGAGACCCCGTATCAAAAACTATTTAAATAAAATAAAGGCCTGAGAAGTGGAGTCAGAGAAAGTGGCAGAGAAGAATATAGTTCTGTGTGCCATCATATAACTGGTAATGGCAGAAGTATGGTCACAAGCCAGGCAATGTAGATCTAGAATATATGCTTTTAGCCACAAGTATATTAGATGCTTTTCTGGAAGAAAGAGTTTTCACAACCACATTCTAGTTCAGTAGATAGGTATTTTACAGACTGTATTGAAAAGATTTGTGTTTACAAAATTAACCACAACAATGACTGTCTATGCTATAAAACTCCAGTAGACTGATTGTGTATAAAAGCGTCCTGATCAACTCCATCAAGTTGTGGAAGGTCCATCTTTCTCAGGTGACCTTATGCAGCACAGGTTCAACATAACTGAGAAAGGACTGGTACAGGATGAGCATGCCAGTGTTAACATGTATGTTAAATAACGAAGCTTCAATTCTGTCTTATTTTTTAGGTAAAATGAATACATATAACAATATTTTCTTTCTGAACTATAGTCAATTAGATATGCATCTTTCATTTTTTATGTCATTTGCTTCAGCAAATATGAAGAAATTTAAAGTGACCCAGCAGAAATAGGGTTTCAATAAAATAGGTGTAGAGAATTTGATAAGGTAATCAAAACAGCTCCTTAAATATAATTTGAGAAATAAAAGGAGTTTAGGTCACAGTTTAAAAAGCTGATAATGGTGAACTGTAATTTCAAATGTAACAATAATAGGTTGAATTATAAGAGCATGCATTGAAGAGAGAATGCTCACATTATATTAAGAAAACATCCAATCATTTGTAGAGATATATGTCTCATTCTAGACACTCATCTAAAATCTACATAGGGATGTGGAGAATTTTGGGAAAAATCACATGGGTCATGAAACATAAAAGATATGAGAAAAAGTTAAAAGCATTGGGGTTATTTATCCTAGAAAGCCTAAAAGAATGTAAGTTTTCCGATATATGAAGAGTTATAATCCCTAAGGGTCTACTTAAGTCTTTGACATTTCTGGTTGAGCCAGACACAGATTCCTTACAGAATTAACTGAGGAAATAACAGCAATGCATCTCTTTTTTTTTTTTTTTAAGAGAGAGTGAGAGAGAGAATTTTTAATATTTATTTTTTAGTTCTCGGCGGACACAACATCTTTGTTGGTATGTGGTGCTGAGGATCGAACCCGGGCCGCACGCATGCCAGGCGAGCGCGCTACCGCTTGAGCCACATCCCCAGCCCAGCAATGCATCTCTTTAAGCCAGAGGCTATTAAGCCCTTGCTTTTGAAATGGATTCAATTACTAATTGCATATAATTGACAGTAAATAACTGAGTCATCAAATTAAGAGTATTTAAGAAAGACTATTATTTCCTACCGATAAGCAACTAAAATAATAGTTACTTTCAAAGTCCACCTAGCACATTTGAGCTCAAAGTCCTACTAAGATTCTCTGAACATAGAAACTGCTGACAGGACTTATGTAAATAAGTTATTGTCTACTAATCACAGATCTGGTTTATGTACATAATAACTATCCAAACAAGATGGAAGAGGGAGAAAAAGGATGATTTTTATTTTATTTTGATACTTAGAATACATTAAGAGATAATGAGATTTTCCCTAGTAGGGAAGTATAATAGTGTTCCTTTACATTCTTTCTTTCTTTCTTTCTTTTTTTTTTTTTTTTTTTTGGTGCTGGGGAGTGAACCCAGGGCCTTGTGCAATAGTTTTCCTTTAGATAAGAATTGATTGTCTTGGGAT